CACTCATGCCCTGCAGGGGACCCCTCCGGACAGGCACTCAGAACAGCCTCCGCAGCTCTCCTGCTCTTTCCAACCCATTTTACTTTTCGTTTTGTTTTTAATAAGGTATTTTATTTATTAATTTATTTTATTTATTTATTTTGGCCGCGTTGGGTCTTCGTTGCTGAGCGCGGGTTTTCTCTAGTTGCGGCGAGGAAGGACTACCCTGCATTGCGGTGCACAGGCTGCTCATTGCGGTGGTTTCTCTCATTGTGGAGCGCGGGCTCTAGGCGCACGGGTTTCAGTAGTTGCAGTACGTGGGCTCAGTAGCTGTGGCGCACGGGCTTAGTTGCTCTGCGGCATGTGGGATCTTCCCAGACCAGGGCTTGAACCCGTGTCCTCTGCATCGGCAGGCAGACTCTCCACCACTGCACCACCAGGGAAGCCCTCTGGCCTATTTATTATTTTTTTTTTGCGGTACGTGGGCCTCTCCCGTTGCGGAGCACAGGCTCCGGACGCGCAGGCCCAGCGGCCATGGCTCACGGGCCCAGCCGCTCCGCGGCATGTGGGATCTTCCCGGACCGGGGCACGAACCCGTGTCCCCTGCATCGGCAGGCAGACTCTCAACCACTGCACCACCAGGGAAGCCCTGTGGCCCATTTCTTAAAAAGTTTTTTTTATTGAAGTATAGTTGATTTACAATATCGTGTAAGTTTCAGGCGTACAGCACAGCGATTCAGTTATACGTGTACATGTATCTATTCTTTTTCAAAGTCTCTACCCATTTAGCTTATTACAGAGTATTGAGCAGAGTTCCCTGTGCTATACAGTAGGTTCTTGTTGGTTATCTGTTTCAGCCCATGATTTTTAAAACAATGCTAACTCCAGCTTGATTACAAAGCTACCACACAGATCATCTCTAAAATTCAACGACATTAAGGGTTTAGTCTGGACTTCTTAAGCAAGCAGAGTTAAATGGAATTGGAATAAGAACTTTTGGTTTACGGAAGGTGAAGAAACTTCTAGAACACGTTTCTTCACAAGAATGGGATGGACCTCGTCGGGCTCAAGAAATCCTAGGGGAAGAAGCGGTTGGCATCCTTATTTCAGAACTGAGAAGAAGGAGGGGAGGCTACGGTGTTCTGGGGGCAGTGGGCAGGTGTCAGCCCCCAATCTGGGCCCTCTGGGGCAGTTACCGCATCTAATTCACAGTGAGCACAGCCGCTGTGGCCTCATCTTCATTCGACAGATTAAAGACTCGATGCTCAGAAGATTTACATCTTATGCTAAAGGTACCACACATATCAGCTGGCAGAATTAATACCTGAACCCTGCGCTGACACACAAGTGCATGCTTTTCATAAAGCAGGATGGGTGCCCTGTGAAAACCGTCCCCTCATCTGCCTGAATAGGGAGCTCTTCACTATGGAATGACGTCCACATCCCTTTCCTGTCATACACTACAGCTACTGTTAATTTTCTTTATTTTAAATTCATTTTTATTGGAGTATAGTTGCTTTACAATGTTGTGTTAGTTTCTGCTGTACAGCAAAGTGATTCAGTTATACGTATACATATATCCCCTCTTTTTTAGATTTCCTTCCCATTTAGGTCACCACAGAGCATTGAGTAGAGTTCCCTGTGCTATACAGCAGGTTCTCATTAGTTATCTCTTTTATATATAGTATCATCAGTGTATATATGTCAATCCCAATCTCCCAATTCATCCCATCCCCCCTTTTCTCCCTTGGTAACCATAAGTTTGTTTTCTATGTCTGTGTCTCTGTTTCCGCTTTGCAAATAAGTTCATCCGTACCATTTTTCTAGATTCCACATATAAGCGATATTACATATTTGTTTTTCTCTTTCTGACTTACTTCACTCTTTATGACAGTCTCTAGGTCTATCCATGTCTCTGCAAATGGCACTATTTCATTCGCTACTGTTAATTTTCTATCCATATTTCCCTTCTCACTTATCTTCTAGAATGCTAAAATTGACCTCACCTCTGGGTTTCGGTACCTCACACAGACACCCTCTTTCCCAGCCTTGTTCTCTTCTAGGTGACCTCCACCCACTAGGGACATGGTGTGACCAGGTGTGACCGTTCCCAGCCCTCTGGGAATCTGAGCACACTTACTGACCCTTCCCAGGATGCTCAGAGATCCTCTTGGATTTTGACATTTGACAGAAAAAAACATGAATAAAACACATGTAAACTTGGTCTTGTTCATTGGTGACTATATAGTTATCACTCAACAACCTTCCACCCTCAGGAATCAAGCCCGGACCAGTGATGACAAATGACACCAGCATAATGACCACAGTGATTCACTGTCCTGTTTACAAATATCATTTAGCAAAGTCAAGGTTAAAGCCACGTAATGGAACAAATTAAGGGGTGGTATTACGGGACCCTCCACAAGACTTGGCATCCACCTCAACTAAGACGCATAGCTATATTTCATATTCATCTAAAATTTAAAATTTTTTTTCTCTGTAACAGCCTTAAAATACCTCAGGAGAGATTGTTGGAACCCTCGTGAAAACTTTTTTCAGAACTTTTAGCCCATAGAGTCTTTACTTTTTCAACTTACTTTTAAAACCCCTGACTATGGACAATTTAAGATTAGGACAACAGGATTGCTTTTTTCATAACTAACTACAGAATCCCATGAGAGTCTGACCAGTGTTAGCCCGATGCTACCATGTAATTCGCATTTATTATGGGGAAAAAAGTCCATTTGGACTTTTTTTTAAGAAGCCGTGGTGAGAAGGTTCGCAGACATGAGCCCTGCCCTGACCGCACAGAGGGAAGGCCGCTGAGCTTGGAGAGCCGGCAGGGCAGCCGGGATGTGTGCAGAGACTCTGCATCCTTGGTTTTAAAGGGAAAGATGTGAAAAGAGAAAAGTTCATTCTGAGATGAATGGGGGCGCTGCTTAACCTGCCCCCTTGGTAATCACCCTGTGTACGAAACGAAGGGCAAGTGGGCGCTGCATTTTCAAGAGCTCCACCTTTGGCGACACAGAATGTTTACAAATCCCTGGAGGGGAGGGTCAGGGTCGTCAGCCCACAGCCTCTGCTGACCGTCAACGCCACAGATCGGCAGTGGTTTCACCCGATTAATAAATAACCACGGAGGTGAAAGAAACCATTTCACAATCTGCAAGTCGCCTCAATTTTCAAATTCCTCCAGGTCAAAAGCAATCACCAGCCAGGCTTTCTTCCCCACCCCGGAAATATTTATTCTTCCTCTTCAGATGCGAACCATTCCAGAAGGTGAACAGAAACTACAGCAAGCGCGGCCTGCTTGTCCACAGCATTTACATGCCTTACATACCCTAAAAGTATGTAACTTATTAATGAACTGAGCTTCCATCCTCTTCAATAAGCCTTTTTATTAGCATGACACTCCTTCACTTACAAGTGTCAAGCCATCTCGCCCCATGTGAGCTTCCTTTCTGGTATTTAATATAAAGACAGAACAGTATTTATATCCCTCACAATAAGAGAATGGATTGTTTTCAGGTTATACAGCCATGGTGTGATAAAGAAAGAAGGAACCTTATTTTCATTAAAAAACTTTAAAACTAAAAGTTCAAAGATATGTTCTCCTCTCTTATTTCTTGTCAAAACATGACTTAAGACCCCAAACTAATCTACTTTCAATTTTATTCCATATTTCAGTGCTGTCATAGTACTCAGTGGAGAGTATTGGAATACGATCATTTTTTATTTTGTTGATGTTACCGACAGCTTTATTTCACAAAGCAATCTTATACTACGTCTACCAGTGGTAGGGCACGGAGGTCAAATAGTCTATCCTTACAGGTAGCGAACTTATTAAACGGCACGTCTATTAAACCCGATGGACAACATAAAGAAACATTCCAGCAAAATACTTTAAACATAGTTCAATGAAGATATGGCTCCAAAGGGTAGTAAATAATTTAAACGGAGACCAGTAAGGAATTTGTTATACTTTTTACTAGCATCTTCAAAATTATATTTCAAACAAAGTGGTTAGAATAGACAGAAACACAAAAGCTGCAACGAAAGGCCCAGGTTCTATGGCAAATGTTCAAGAGTGTGGCTACTTCGATGCAAATCCCAACATTAATTGATCAACAGTTCTATTGCCAGGTTCATTTAAAATAATCTAGGTGTAAATATTACATAATCGTGAGCTGAGATAACCGCTTTTTAAAAATCGTCTTCCTGACTGTCATTTTTATTCTTGTTTTGGAAAACGGTTGATTTTTAAATTCGATGTAAGATAGCATTTATTCATGACGCAACTGCGCTTCTAAGAGAAAAAACTGCGTCAGAAGGGTACAGTCAAAATAATGCGAAAAATATTTTCTTAATTATTACATATTAAAATATTACATAATATTTTACATACACATCAAGTATTACATAATACCTGCTGTGAAAATAAATGTGATTACAAAGGATTAGAAAAAAAGTTTTCATAATGCAGGATTTTCTTTTTCCCCCTGGTATCTCTGGTAACTCTTCGATGATGAAAAAATTGAATCTATCGTCCTTCTAATCACAGTGTTCCCCCCGTATTTGATTAACCACATTTACCAAAAAGAAAAAAGGGAATCCATGAAAGTGAACACAATTTCTTGTCCTCCTATGCAAGCTGTGGGTTTTCTACCAAAATGACCAACTGAATCAGTGCCTTTTGATAAGTTTATCATAAGTAAGAGTATTTATGACATAAATAAGAGACAGAGCCTCTTCATGTTTTTTTAATAAATTTATTTTATTTTATTTATTTTTGGCTGCATTGGGTCTTCGTTGCTGCGTGCGGGTTTTCTCTAGTTGCGGCAAGCAGGGGCTAATCTTCGTTTTGGTGCGCGGGCTTCTCATTACGGTGGCTTCTCTTGTTGCGGAGTACAGGCTCTAGCCGCACGGGCTTCAGTAGTTGTGGCACGCGGGCTCAGTAGTTGTGGCTCGTGGGCTCTAGAGCGTAGCCTCAGTAGCTGTGGCGCACAGGCTTAGTTGCCCCCGTGGCATGTGGGATCTTCCCGAACCAGGGCTCGAACCCATGTCCCCTGCATTGGCAGACAGATTCCCAACCACTGTGCCACCAGGGAAGTCCTGAGTCTCTTCATCTTGATGTTGGTTACCTGGTGTCTGACCAGGCAGTTGGGTCCCTGATCTCTTACCAAGAATATAGATGACTTGATCAAGGGTCACTAGCAGATTCTCCTGGCAGGACAATTAATAAGATACAGAAACGTAAAACATGAGTTGTTAAAGTTAACAATTACCTCCCCACCCAGCATCACTCCACAGGCACCGTCCCTGCTTCAGCGCCCAGTAAATCATCTACCTAAATGCATTTGCGCCCAATCATTTTTAAAGTCACAATCTTTGCAGTGTCAACTTGTCAAGGGTCAAAGGGAAGAGCAGGCAAGATTCCCACATCAATCTGCTTGTAGAAACCGTCTCATTTCATTTCAAATCACCTGCTGTGCTTGAAGCCGACGATGGACAAACCGTCTTCCTCCATAAAACCGTGACAGCCCAGGTCGAACTTGGGCCATCATTCATTGGGGCAAGTCAGGCCGCTTCTGTCATTAACTACTTTTAAACGGCTGTGCGGGGTTAAGTGATCTTGCAGGGCAGCCACAGATATAAATACTGTTTGGACAGTTTAATGTCGAGACCATTCCTCTGAGATGAAAACTGTGTAACCCAAAAGAACAGTTGTCGATACAAGGATTAAGGTGCCTGTATTGTTACTGGGAGCCGTGCCTTTACATGGGTTTTGTGTACATGACCCCATAGGAGACTCTGAATGTTGTCCATCCACCTGACACAGCTCCTAGACAGTGTTCTGAGAATATTAAAAACGACTTCAGGCATTCAGAGGGCCACCCTTCGGTAAGCGTTCTTAGAGGGTTTACATTTGTCCTTGAGAGGCTGATGGGAAAATGAGGGCACCCTGCTGCTGTGGGCGGCTCCAGAGCCTCACGGTCAATTGGAATCTCAAAGGTCTACAGCTGGCCATAAAATCAGTGTGGGCAGTACGGTAACTTGTGCACAGAAGAGTCACGATCGAAGAAATAAGGCTGAAATGATGATCCCATCTCCTTTAGAGAGCTCTTTCCTGGAGGCAAACACTGTAACATCTAAAGGTGACAATTAATATTTACCCAGTACTTAGCATATATGGGGCATGCACTGAGTGATTTGCATGCATGACCTCATTTAAATCTCACAACCCAATGAGAAATCTATTTTTAGTCCCACTTTACAGGTGAGAAAGCTGTGGACCAGAACCGGTAAAAATCTGCCCCCAGGTTGCACAGCTGGTAATGATGGCGAATAGAACAAATGTTGTGTCTGATTCAGGAACTAGTACAGTCAACTACGGCGCTAGACCACCTCTGCTATAATGATGCTCCCTGTGAGAAATTCCACTTGCTGGTCTTATAAAGTATTTATAATACACACTGGCTTAGGTCTCTTTAACATGCTTTAGCTGTGTGCAGAAACAGTCTGAATCATTAAAAGAAGAGAGTTGCTAAGTTACTCGGAGACCTCGAGTGAGTTAAATCCAACCAATATACAAATAACATGAAGATTTTCCAGGGGGGGTGTGGGCATGGATAGTTCTGAGAAAATCCATTTCGAAATCCTCAGTGTCAGTATGTTTTCTTTCCTAAAATTGGTCTACCTGAGTAAACATCCTACACATTCTAATTTTCTACCCCATTCACAACTGCAATTCTCCAACCTTACTTCAAAGGCACCCTCTCCACCCCCGGAGTCTTACCCGGCCCCCAAGGTGAAAATCTCCATCACCAAAGACTATCTACCAGGTCCCTGAAGATCCCTCCACAATTTATCCTGTGAAGAAATGAATTTCAACCAAGAGGTTTCTGTGTTTAAAACTCATTTATCAGGACTTCCCTGGTGGCTCAGTGGTTAAGAATCAACCTGCCAATGCAGGGGACAGGGGTTCAAGCCCCGGTCCGGGAAGATCCCACATGCCGTGGAGCAACTAAGCCCGAGAGCCACAACTACTGAGCCCGCGTGCCACAACCACTGAAGCCCGCCCGCCTAGAACCCATGCTCCGCAACAAGAGAAGCCACCGCAATGAGAAGCCCGCACACCGCAACGAAGAGTAACCCCTGCTCGCCACAACTAGAGAAAGCCTGCGCGCAGCAACCAAGACCCAACGCAGCCAAAAATAAATACATAAAACAAATAAACTTTAAAAATAAATAAAACTCTATCTATCTATCGAAGGTTGTAATATATACTTACGGTATTTGATCGATTTCTAATGCTACCTCAATATGGGAGGAAAGTGTTAACCTTTAGTGCCTCACAGTTGTAGGAATTGAAAACAAATTCAATTTACATGCAGAGTTTTGTAGCAGAGAATTACATGGTAACTAGTAAGGCTTTCAAACATAAAGATATTTCATCAGGATAAAACTCTGTGGGGAGTAAGAATGGAAATACAATTTCAGGAAGAAAAAAGAACAATGTTATAGAAGAGGATGATGTTTTTTGAATGGATGCTGCTGAATATAAAAGCACCATGATATTCATATTCCATAGGGTACATTCAAATCAAAGTTTCTCAAACCTCAGCACCATCGACATTTTGCCCTGATAATTCTTTCTTGCGCATTGCATTATAGGATGTTGAGCAGCATCCCCGATCTACAGACGCACGCACGCACACACACGCACGCACACGCGCACACACACGCACGCACGCACACATGTGCATACGCACACACACACAGAGTTGTGACCACCACAAATGCCTCCAGATGTTGCCCAAATGCTTCCCTGGGAGGCAAAACGGTCTCTGGTTGAGAATCCTTAAACAAGGGACCTAACATTTACTGCACGATTTCAAAATTTAGTATTTAAACTTATGATGAAAAATGTTAAATGTTCACTAGGAATTATGCAACAGAGAACACAATTTTTCAAAATTATTCTTAGAGGAGTACATGGACAAACACATTTCGAGACCATTGAGTTCAATAGAAACATTCGTGGCCAATGTGGGGTGAGCGGAAAGAAAGTGGGCCAAGCCTGGGACCCCAGGGGACTTTGGCTGGGGCTCATCCCTGTCAACCTTAACTGCCAGGTGACCCAGACCCACAGAATCTGAAGAGTAGCCGGACCATCCTAAAGGCAGGAGCAACGTCATATTGGAACATGGAGACTTTGAATAATGAGCAATTTAAAAGAAGCAGAAATAACAACGAGTGTGCACTATTCTTCAACAATTTCAAAGGGACATCTTTTGAAAAATAAATTGAGAAGGCCAGGTCCGGGAGAACATGAAGAATTTCCCAGAAATGTTAAGACCAAAAGGTCACAGATGACATGGAATTTCTGTGGCTCTGTTGTAGTGTATCATAGTTATCCATGTTTACAGTGAACTTGCAAAATCGTTTCACTACAATCATCTGGATACAAACTTGGGAGTCGAGTGGGTAGAGCCCCGGGGACCTTAGCTTCTCGTAGGCCTGATGAACAAGCCACACACTAGAAGCCAGGCCGGATGAGGCACCAAACCACCTATCAGACTGTGGCAGGAAAACCACAACCCTTAACAAAAACAAAAAAAAATCAATGGAAACCATCCTGTTATTTTATATTAGTTATACCATCACCTAGCTACATCTATTGTATAGTATCAGATATTACAGTAATGATCCTCAAGTATCAACTAAATATCAAAGTGTAAGTACAACCTTCTTCTTGGATATCTTTAATGACTTGTTTTTTAATGACTCAACTAAGTTAAAAAAAAAAGTTCAAAATAGCAGAACTAGGAAATGCAGATAGGCAAAACCGAGGAGATGAAATTACCCATAAGCTCATCACTCAGAGATAACAAAAGTAGAATCTCGGGCATATTCTTTTGAAACTCTGTGTTAGAATTGGCACCTTGGGCTCTGCTCCAACCCCTGTTTTTTGCTAATAAACTCTCCAGATGCCCCCTTTTATTTTCATGGTCCTCTGCAATGATAATGCCCTTATGACAGGTCGTCTCTCGTGACCTTGGGGAGAGCATCGCTCCAGCTTTATAAGTGAGGCAGCAGAGGCCCGGGAAGCTCAGGGTCTCAAACCCACATCCTGTGCTCTGTCCTCTGAGCTACGAGCCTCCAAAAACGAAAGTAGCAACAGTCCTGGAAGCGGGCCGCATGTTCACTTCCAGGTGAGCTGCCAACGTGAAAACACTTTCATACATTTGATCCTAGTTAAGAAGGATCAAAGCAGACTCAGAGACATAGAGAACAGACTTGTGGTTGCCAAGGAGGAGGGAGGTTGGAGGAGGGAAAGACCGGGAGGTTGGGGTCAGCGGGTGCAAACTACTACCTATAGCGTGGATGGACAACAAGGTCCTACTGTAGAGCACAGGGAACTATATTGAATAACCTGTGATAAACCATAATGGCAAAGAATATGAAAAAGAATGTAGGTATGTGTATAAGTGAATCACTTTGCTGTACACCAGAAACTAACACAACGTTGTAAATCAACTCTACTTCAATAGCAGAAGACGGTGAGCCAGCCAAGGGTGCATTTGGTACCTGAATCTTTAAAAGCAAAGAAAGTCAGGACGCTTCATCCTTGGATGTTCAGAACAATCTTTCTGGAAAGTGCTACCTGGATTCTAACAGGCTGGACCTCCGTTGCTGCATGTGTGAATACATCCATCCAGCCCCGGGGGTGGGGATTGGCAACACACAAACGAAGGCTTAACAACAAGAAGGTTAGTACTGATGAGAGGGGTGTGGTACCACGCAAGCCAAATGCTGCAGCGCCCAGCAAGCAAAGGAACCGGCAGGGTCAGGAGACTAGCACTCACACCCTCCGCCTATGCACCAGGCAGCGTCCTGGGCTCTGGGGACACAGCGCTCTGGGGACACAGCGACGGTACAGACCAGGCAGCCAGGTGCATTGAGTCAAGCCAGGCAACTGGGAGCATAAACCCTTCTGCCCCTCCCTCGGCCGACAAGGCAAACTCTGTCCTCTCTGAGCCACAGCTTTCTCGACGACAAAATGAAGGGAATGTCTAGTCCATTGTATGAAATCAGGCAATATGTCTAAACTACGTGGTACATAGTAGGAGAATATTTGTTGGCAGTGGATATGCTCACCTTGACTGAGAGCTGACCAGGTCCGAGGGGTTGTGCCGTCACGTCACACGCATTAGTGCATTTAACCTCGTAACTCGGAGGCATGGTAACTGGTCCAAGCACGTCAGGCACCGAGGGTAAGGTCAGTATTCAAATCCAGAGGACCTGGCTTCCAGAGCTGGTGCTCAGGGATGCTCGAAGTACATTCAATGAACAGCAAATCTCTAGGGATAACAACCCGCAAAGAGCTGGCATTATCCAAGAATCTTCAAACATGAATGTAATGACTACAATTAATGAGACCAACTTGGGAATTCCCTGGTGGTCCAGTAGTTACGACTCCAAGCTTTCACTGCCGAGGGCACGGGTTCAGTCCCTGGTTGGGGAACTAAAATCCTACAAGCCACATGGCTCGGCCAAAAAGAAGAAAAGAAAACAAGAGACTGATTCCATGGAACTTCTACAGAAGTGGTGTTTTTACATGGAATTAGTATAGTGTGTTTTATAGAATAGATCAACAAAATAGTGATAATGCTGATTTTATTATTTTATTATTATGAGCTCAATGTTTGCCTGCCAGGGTGAGCACACGGCCACCACCTGCAGGGTGCACATCCCCTGGGGGTGAGGCCAGGGGGCTGCACTCTGCCCTTCTTGTCTAAGGACCGGGCAGGAGCTGAGCTTTCCCATGGGGGACTGGAAAACCAATGCTGCAAACTGAGAGGAGCCCCACCCTCTTGCCACCTGGATCCCTCACCCTGGGTGGCCAAGTCTTCCCATCCTGGCAGCTGCACCTGGAGCAGACGCGCCCCTGCACCCCCATCCCATGGATGTAGCCTCTGCTTTCCTGGTCCCCAACCTCGGAGGGCCTTCCGTGCAGCGCGGCTGCTTCTCCATCCTCCTCTCCCACCTCCCTCAGTGGTCCCCCTGCCACCCCACCTGCAGCTCCCTCTCCAAGCCCCCACCCCTCCCTCCTGCATCTTCAGTACATGGTCTTTCCTCCTTGCCTATGAACACAGACAGAGCCAGAACTCTCAGCTCTCGGGGCTCTACCTGCATCTCCCCACCTGCCCCCCAAGACCTCACCCTCTGTGGGCCAGGCACCACTGCACCGTGAGGACACGTGGAAGACACACTACGGGCTTGCCTCCGCCTGCCCCTCCTCTGTCCACGGTGAGGTCCTGTATCTGGCCTCAGAGCATCCCCTCCTGAATCCCCCGGGGCCTTTTTCCATGAAGCATCCCCTCAGCAGGCACTTCTGTTCCTAATCTCTCCTTTTCAACCGCCTCTCTAGCCTAAACACGGGCTGCAGAATTCTCCTTCTGTTTAGTTTCAAAGCATTCTTTTCATACACACACTACTATATATAAGATAGATAACCAACGAGGACCTACTGTCTAGCACAGGGAACTCTAGTCAGTATTCTGTGATAACCTATACGAGAAAAGAATCTGAAAAAGAATGAATATATGTACAGGTATAACTGAATCACTGTGCCGTACACCTGAAACTAACACAACATTGTAAATCAACTACACTCCAAAATTGTTTTTAATTAAATAATAAGGCGTTCTCTTAGCCCTCACTCTCCTTCTAGCAACCTTCCACATTCTCCCAACTCTCTACATTATTGAAAAAGTGAGTCTCGCCTCCCTGCACTCTGGCCTCTACCCGCAGTGCATGCTGGCAGAAGTCCACTCTGGAGAAGGTAACTCGGAGGACGCCCTGCAGCCTCATCCGACTTCATTACGACGGGGAGGCCTCTGTCTACGGTATCAGCCCCTTTTCACCACTCTCTTTTCCCTGACACTATTTTCCTTGGCTTGGCCCCTTTCAGATTCCCTCCCGGACTCTCCTCCTCCTGACCCATAAGCAGCCGTGTCCACCTGGGCACGCCTAGGTCTCCGGCTCTCACTCTGGACACACATTCCCCTTGACCTGTGAACTGTCATCCCTCAGACACAGCTCCAGACTAGATTCTTCTGCCAGTCCTTTTTATAAGAGGAGAGGAAAACAATAGAGGGGACTTCCCTGATGGTCCAGTGGTTAGGACTCGGTGCTTTTGCTGCCGGGGCTCCGGGTTCAATCCCTGGTCGGGGAACTAAGATCCTGCAGGGCCCAAGGCGCGGCCAGAAAAAGAGAAAACAGTATAAATAGCCCAAAAGATGTTCCACAAAACGAGCACCCGTGACTCTGGTTCCCTCGGCATGTCTTTCCCTAAATGTCTCTGGAGCGTGAGTCTCATGTTTCCAGACACTCCCGCCTGGTTCCAAATGCAAGCCACGGCTTCTTCCCAGGTTCATCTCAAACTCTGGAGCAAAAGGTGTCATTGTTGGACTTGGGCGTCACCCTCCAACCCACCACCTTCTCAAGAGTTTTCGAGTATAATATACGCAATTCCACCTCATACCTTAACCTAATCTGAAGAAGGTGTAAGGTCTAAAGTCAGCAAGACGGTGAAACTGAAATATACTCAGAATTACTCCGTGGAAAGTCCCATGCGTGGTCCATAACACACAAAACACTATTCGGATACATACAATCCTATACAATAATGCATATGGAAACAGTGAGGCCCGATCTGTAAAAAAGAGTATGCAAAATACTTTACAGCTGACCACTAGATGAGAGTCAGCTCACACTCCGAGTTCCTATTGTAGGAAAACTGCAGAGGTCAATTTGCACTAGTAAATTAAGTTATATTTGGTACTTCTCTGGCGATCCAGTGGTTAAGACTCTGCCCTTCCAGTGCAGGGGGTGCGGGTTCGATCCCTGGTCGGGGAGCTAAGATCCCACATGCCTTGTGGCCAAAAAAAAAATCATAAAACAGAAGCAATATTGTAACAACTTCAGTAAAGACTTTAAAAACTGTCCACATTGGGGCTTCCCTGGTGGCACAGTGGTTAAGAATCCGCCTGCCAATGCAGGGGACACGGGTTCAAGCCTGCCAATGCAGGGGACACGGGTTCGAGCCCTGGTCCGGGAAGATCCCACATGCTGCGGAGCAGCTAAGCCCATGTGTCACAACTACTGAGCCTGTGCTCTACAGCCCGCAAGCCACAACTACTGAATCCGCGAGCCACAACTATTGAAGCCCGCGCACCTAGAGCCTGTGCTCCACCTCAAGAGAAGCCACCGCAATGAGAAGCCCACGCACCGCAACGAAGAGTAGCCCCCGCTCGCCACAACTAGAGAAAGCCCACGCACAGCAACGAAGACCAATGCAGCCAAAAAATAAACAAATAAATAAATAAATTTATTTTTAAAAAAGGCCCACATCAAAAAAATCTTTAAAAAAATTAATTTATATTCATATCTGATCCTTACTATGTAATCAGTGCTTCTTAGCTCTCTCTAACGGGTCCCAGAAAATCTCCCCAGAGAAGAAGGGCAGGAGTTGACCCCTCTTTCCTGCTCAATCAGTGTCATTGAATTAAATGGGAACAATATATAAAAAGATTGAGGGTTTCTCCGGCGGTCCAGTGGTTAGGACTCTGTGCTTGCACTGCAGAGGTTGCGGGTTTGATCCCTGGTCGGGGAACTAAGATCCCGCATGCCGCATGACCAAAACAAACAAACAAACAAAAATATGTAGAAAGATTTAGAAAGAAAGAAGAGCACAAGTTTTGTCAGAAAATACCAAGTATCAGTGCTGCGCAGGTATGAAGCGTGAGGTAGGGATGAGGGGTGGGCAGGGGGAGGGCAGGTGAGCAGTGGTGGAAGATGGTCTGGACAGGTGGGCCAGGCCTACCTGTCATGTAGCCCCCTAGGTACTGGGCTGGGACAGAACATAAGGCCTTGTGTGCCAAGCTGAGGACTAGAGACTTCACTCTGGAACCTCTGGGAAGCTTGTGCAGGGGAACAAGAAAAGAGGTGACGAGGTAGGATTGGCACTTTCTGGTCCTGGACACCGGACAGAGCGTCAGTTGGCGTGGGAAGAGAACACGGGCGAGGAAACCCCTTAGGAGTTGGTGAGAGGCGACCTCCTCTTAGAGGGAAAATAAAGACGTGGCTGTTTGACCCTCAAGGCAGTTTTAAGGAAAATAGTCTTAGATTAAAACACATCTGGTAAATTGATGATTTGCTGCTTTGCAGAGATTAAAATCATGACATGTGTATTCCTTCCTCTCCGTTTTAAAATGTCACCATATCTTAATCCATTCTCTTTTCTCCCATTTGTGTCTCTGAGTAACTCTCCACACTCCTCACCCCAGCCCTCTTGCTGGTCCCTCCCTCTCCCCTGGCTCCCCTTTGTCTGTAAATGCAAATGCTCTCAGCCACCCAGGGGCTGAGTTTTTTTTCTTCTGGAGCCTTCTGGAGCCCTCTGGAGCCACCTGAGCCCAGCACCCTACCCCTCGCCCAACGTCACCAAAGAACGAGCGGTACTCAGAGCCTCACCACCCATGCAGCCTGGCCTTGACCCTCCAGGATCCGGCCTGCAGGGGCCCTGACTCTTGCAGGATGAAGCTCGTACACAAACTGCACATCCCAGCGCAGTGCCAGTGCAAACAAAGAACCGGGGGGAAGGAGGCAGGTGATGACCTGAGCTGGTGCGTGACCTGTGCCTTGAAAGACATGCCACCTCCTTCTCGTAAGTGACAAAAATCTAATTCAAAATAATTGAAGCAAAAAAGGGACTTGACCATCTCCAGTGGTGGAGAAGACCAGGCTGAGGCCAAGGCTCAGCTGGCACCTCCAGGGCACATCTTCCCACCCTTCACCTCCTGTGCGAAGTTGTTCCTCAGGTACGTTTTTCCAAGTCCTGGAATGAATGGCCAGGCAGCCTTGGAGTCGATGGTCCCAGAGTCCCTCTCCAGGGGTCCACATCAACCCTGAAAAAGGCTGACTGCACAGCTTGGGTCACCCACCCTCTCCCCAGCTTCCAAAGAAGGACAGCCTGTGGCCCTGAAAGAATACTCAGCCAGTATGAAAGGATTTTAACCAACGATGACACGGAGGCAATGGTGAGATGGAGGTGATGACTGACAGGGCATATTTTGGGGAGAACACATGATCCTGTGTGCAGGGAGGAAGGTATGAAAAGACATTGTAAATAAAAAAGAAGCTGGGGGGCTTCCCTGGTGGTGCAGTGGTTAGGAATCTGCCTGCCAATGCAGGGGACACGGGTTCGAGCCCTGGTCCCGGAAGAGACCACATGCCGCAGGGCAACTAAGCCCGTGTGCCACAACTACTGAGCCCGTGAGCCACAACTACTGAAGCCTGCACTCCTAGAGCACGTGCTCCACAACAAGAGAAGCCACCGCAGTGAGAAGCCCATTCACCGCCATGAAGAGTAGCCCCCGCTCACCACAACTAGAGAAAGCCCGCGTGCAGCAACGAAGACCCAAGGCAGCCAAAAATATAAATAAATTAATTTAAAAAAAAAAAAGGCTGTGATAAAACATGGAGTAGGGAATTCCTGCAAGTACAAGGAATCACCAGTCATGGTAGTGACCCTCCTGGACTGATCTGGGTAGGATGGGCATCACAGTCAGAGCCTCAGGTAAGTAGGCAAAATAACGCCCTCCCCAGTAGGAAAATGGGTAACTACTTCCTGTGGAAAGACAGTGGGTAAGACAGCAGACTCGTGGTCCTGAAGATTCCTGGGGAAGGCTGGTTGGGGCGGGGCAGTATCAGCATAGTTTCTAGTGATAAATCCTCCAAGCCTGGCAGGACAGCCATGCTAGCTGTTAAAATATTAAAATACTTGTATGTCAGTTGGTAAATAGTCAACACCCTAACACGCCCTCCCAGGGACACTCCTCTTCATCTGAACCCTAGGATCCTGAGACCAGCCCATGTTCCAGCAACTACTGCATGGAGTCTGAGCCCTGGGGGGCTTCCAGAACCTTCTGCATCCTTCCCTGGCCCACATGCTCTGTGCCGACTGGCTGATGCCTGCGCCATATTGATTATTGAGTGCTTTGGGTGAGAGCAGACCCCTCGTGGGAAAGCGACCTCGAACTCTTTCCCCAAATCCAGGGAGCTGGAGAGGCTGGACCAGGGAGGAGCTGGGGGGTGGGAGCTGTCCCTACAGGAATGGGCCAGTCCCCTCCTGTGAGCTCACTATGTCCCAGGCAGGCACACGCCCCAATCTTCCGCTATGTCCACTTCCACACCAGGAAGTCGCCAGCCAATGTGATGTTGGGAGATCATCAGTATTATCTGTAATCATGTTATTTCCCATCTACCTGCACCGGGGAACCGTGACATTTAAGCAGAGTCAACACAAAATGGAAGATGAGTGCTAACTCGGACCTGCCCTGGGATTACTCTGTATCCACCCAAATCACGAAAGAGATTAGAGGGCTGCCATCTGACCCAGAAAGTATAAAACCAAAGTGGACAGTGACAGTATAATCGATTTATAACCATCCTCTTAAGAGATGCTGGATTTTGCAAAAGGCTGAATATTGTAGGAAAAAGCCAACTCTGGCAGGAAGTAAATAAATATAAGTGGTTTGTGTTTGCTTGTTCATTTAGCAAACTATTTTGTGCGCATTTTGGCCCCAAAGAAACCTCTTAGACTTTTAATAGTCAGTCTAGAAATATAACCATTCTTTAACACATCCCATAATTTATTTTGTAATATCAATCGTGTGGTAAATTTTTATTTTAAGAGGGGCATTTAAAAAGCAAGAGAAGGACTTCCCTGGTGGCGCAATGGTTAAGACTCCACGCTGCCAATGCAGGGGTCCCAGGTTCGTTCCCTGGTCAGGGAACTAGATCCCACATGCATGCTGCAACTAAGAGTTCACATGCCACAACTAAGGAGCCCACGTGCCGCAGGAAAGGAGCCAGTGAGCCGCAACTAAGAAGCCCGCTTGCCACAACTAAGACCCAGCACAATCAAATAAATAAATAAAATTAAAAAAAAATAAGCTATTAAAAGGCAAGAGAAAAGACAGTTTGGTGGTTTCTCAATAAGTTAAACATAGAACTACCACATGATCCAGCAATTCCACTTCTAGGCATGTACCTGAAAGAATTAAAAACAGGCTTTCAAATAATAACTTGCACGTGGATGTTCATAGCAGCATTATTTACAACAGACAAAAGGTGGAAACAACCCAGATGTCCTCAACGGGTGAATGGATGAATGGAATGTGGTCCATCCATACAATTGAATATTATTCAGCCATAAAAAGGCATGAAGTACTGACACACACTACAACAGGGGTGAACCTAGGAAACACATGCTGTGTGAAAGAAGCCAGATGAAAAGCTACATATTGCATGATTCCGCTTGTGGGAAATGCCCAGAAGAGGCAAATCCGAATCCATAGATGGAAGGCGGGCGTGGGGCAGGGAGAGATGGGGAAGGACTTAATGGGGTGGGTCTCCTGCTGGGGTGGAAATGCTCTGGAATTAGATCGTGGTGATGGTCGCACGACATGGTGAACGTGCTAGATGCCACTGAATTGGAACACTTTAAAACGGTTAAACTGGTGAATTGTGTCATATATACTGTACCACAATTTAAAAAAAAAAAAAGGGGGAAGAGAAGACCACGGGGTTGTGAGGTCCTGAACACCTGGTCTGGTGCCCACAGCTCTGAGGGAGCCTTGGCATCAACTCCCCACCCCGTCCCCTGCCGCCCTCCCTCTCGCCCCCCCCCGCCCCCGCCCCGCAAAAAGCATCAACCTCCCCTCCCCCAGAGCGGCGGTCTCTCACTCCCCGTCCCACAAACAGCAGTGCTTCCTCCCCGGTTGGCCTTTTTTTTTTTTTTCTTTTTTTAAGAACTCTCTGATTAGGTTTTGAATCTTCAGTATTTAACTTCTCTAATGACACTGCAAAGACTTTTGCAAAGTATTTATTTTCCTGACACTTTATGTAAAGAAACTAAGGACAGACTACCTCTTCCTTAAAAGAATAAGGCATGGCTCGAGCAAACCAGAAATGGCTAGCTCTGTTTTTAAGTGCAAGCTTGTCCTGAGGTCCAAGCCAGAGAAGCTTCAAGTTAAAAAACCGTTTGACGGCCACAGATTATAACCTTAAAGCTGCTGGGCTGACCAGCTCTCAGGACTGGGGCTTACAGAATAAGAAGGATGGCTTCTGTACCTGTAACCCGTCACCAAAATCAACACAGAGTTTCCCTCCTTCTAATGCCAGGGCGTCTGCACACGTGCGTGTAGAAAATACAAACATAATCACATTGTTCGCTACCAGGAATAGAACCTGCTCATTTCTTGTCTGTGGAAAATACGGAAAACTCTTCCACACACACACAGGCACACACATAAAAAGAAAAAAAAAAAAGATACAATTTTAGATTTCCTATGGATTTCTGAGTCAAAAACAACAGCTAAGGCTGCTATTTTAAAACCAAATTAGAGAATTTTTTTTACCACAGGAAACCGTCCTAACAATGACACCTTATTTCCTGAAAATGACAAGAAAATTCCACATATTCCCACGTTGAGTGTGCCACAGTGCGGGTGCTGCAATTCCCACATCGGAGTTGCACAAATGTGTATTTTGAATCTATCATTTGAATCAAAGCATGCTTTATATTCTGGGGTCCTGATACTTTCAGCACTATGTAGAGGATTGGACAAGCTAAAATACAGAAAACATTGACACTTGAGAAAGGTTTATATGATCCAGTTTACTTTGATTTTTACTGAGACATCACTGTAACTGTAACCGAAAAATTCTCAGGAAACTCCAAACTAATTCTGTATTATTAATATCGTGTCTGTTTATTAATTTCTACAAAACTTTCCTAACAAAGTGTTTACAGAGCCAGGAAACATGGTGTTACCCTCATCCCCTCCCAGCCTAGAAATAGCAGCGAACTGACCCGAGACGCAGACTTTTCTGTAAGTCACTCAAGTGTTTGGGACTTCTTTTTGTTGTTCTTTTCTGAATACTATAGTTTTATTTAATCTTAAAAAATAAATTATTAATAAAAGTTAAAAGAATAAAAATAGATAAAAATAAAAACTCAATAAAACAAATTATTAAAGAAGAACGTAGATATGTGTAGAACTGAGTCACTTTGCTGTACAGCAGAAATTAACATTGTCAATCTATTATACTTCAATAAAAAATAAATAAATAAAATTATCTTCTTTTACTAATTCTTAAAAATTAAAGAATATTTAATTTTTCTTCTAAAACCTTCTAGGGCTGGCCTATATTCGTTTGTTTGTTTGTTTTAAATGAAGTATGGTTGATGGACAATGTTTCAGGTGTACCGCAAAGTGATTCAGTTTTATATATAGTCTTTTTCAGATTCTTTTGCATGATGTTATTGCAAGATATTGACTATAGTTCCCTGTGCTATACAGTAGGTCCTTGTTTATCTATTTTACATTTAGTGGTGTGGATCTGTTGATCCCAAATTCCCAATTTATCCCTCCTCCCTGTTTGGGGCTTAAACTAAAGTGGAAAGAACGAGGCCCGAGGCAGCATTACCCAGGAGCACCTGTCCTGTCCCCTGAGGTGGGCAGGGACTGGCTGAGTCTGGTCATCGCTGTGTACAGCATCCCCTGTCCCTGCCTGAGGGCCATGGGCGTCTCTGTCAAGAATCCTGCCTGGCTTTGCCGGCCTCCACATTCCCCATCCTTATCTGACCACTCCCCCTTTTCTGGAAATGTGATTAACATTCCACAGACACCTCGGGCATTGCTGGGCTGGTTGGTTCTGCTAAAGGTATGGTCCCTGATATTCTGGACAATCAGGGTTCGAGTCGAGAAACATCCTGGGTTGTCGCGATGTCTTAACTTTACAAAGTGATGACAACCCCACCCCAGCAGAAAGCACGTCTGTCAGTCCTTCCATCCTTCATCCAGTTTCTGGCCTGCTAGGACTTTCAAGTCCCTTTGGTAGATGATGGTCAGCCTGAGCGACCAATTTTCTCCTTGGCACGTACCTGAGGGCGTGACCAAAAATGCCATTACAGAAAAAAGAGCCACAGTTCCTACCCACACAGCTTTCAGGTCACAGGATATGCCCACATGCTCGGCCTGTCCCCACGAGATCAAACCACATGTGTTCAAATTCCAGGCTCCCTGCTTCACAGTCACGTTCCCTTGGGCCAATTCCTTCACCTCTCTGAGCCTCAGTTTTGTCACCTGGAAAACAGGAGCACAATAAAAGTACCTACCATTTAAAGAAAAGATTTTAATGAAAAGATTAAAAACGGCGGTGCCTGTAAAAGCAGAGGATGTTTGTCCTGGGCACCTAGCTGACTGCTATAATTTCTTGTTCCTCCAAGCTCCTCCTTAGCTAATGTAGTTTTAACAGCTGGGACAGGGGACAGGAAGTGGAAACCGTGGCGGAAGAGGAAAAAGGGGCCTCTGTGGCTCCTTCAGATGTATTTACAACCCCAGATGGAGACAGAGAGGCACAGGCAGAGAGCAGGGCTTCTGAGCCTCGTCCAGTGACAGGTGAGCCCAAACTGAGAAGGGTTAGAAAATCCTCATCTCAGGAGCAGAGCCTGCCCACCCGCTTCAGGGCCGATCCTGCCCAAGGTGTAGGGTCAACTCCATGGATGCACGAGCCTTCTTCCTATCGACAGCGACCACCCCCCTTGACAGAGAGGTGTGGGGCTGAGGGGACCGTTCAGCCACTGGGGCCCCTTGTCCCCAATGCTCTGGACACTCCTCCACCAGCTTAGGGGGACAGTCAGGGCTGAGCCCCTTGACCTATTTGGTGGAAGAAGTAGATGCTCAATAAATATTTGTTGAATAAATAAATGTTTGAGTGAAGTGGAGTCAAATGAGCACATGAATAGCTGAGGGTAAGGAAGCAGAGAGGCTTATCAATATCCAAGCAACTTCTGTCCATCCTGGAGGACAGGGGTGGGCAAACTTTTCCTGTAAAGAGCCAGAGAGTGAATATTCTAGACTTGGCTGTCCAAACGGGCTCCCTGCAACGAGTCGAGTCTGCAATGTTGCAGGAAAGCAGCCAGAGACAACGAGTACATGTGCGTGTGGCTGTCCTCCCATAAAGCCTTGTCTGGACGCAGAAATGGGAAGTGTGCGTCATTTGCACATGTCACGAATTCTTCTTTTAATTCTTTCCAACCATTTAAAAATGTAAACACCACTTTCAGTTCACAGCCTCCATAAAAACAGGTGATGGTGGATCCGACCCTTGAGCTGTAGTCGCCAGCCCCTGCTTTAGGAAACACAAGAGCCGAGTAGGTGAGGAACTACAGAGGTGACAAAATTCTTCTCCCTTGGTGGCCACACTACCTCTTCCTCTGTGTCTTCTCCTCTGTCTCAAATCTCCCTCTGCCAAGGACACTGGTCATTGGATTTCAGGCCCACCTGAATAATCTCATCTCAAGGCCCTTAACTTAATTATATCAGCAAAGACCATTTTTCCAAATAAGGTAACAGTCCCAGGTTCAGATAATTCCTGAATTATCTTTACTTGGTTATACAGTCACGGGTCACCAACAAATAAATGTAGATCTATTGGAAAACCACCACTGGAACAATTGACTCGGGCAAGGATCAGCTTAGATGCTAAAGCCACGGGGTGAAGGGTCTCCGGAAGAAAGGATAATCACACAAACTCTATGGATCATCCAACAGATTACTTATTAGTTACGAAGGAGGCCGCTCCCTGGCCAGCGAAGAAGCCTGGTGGGCACCTCTGGGCCAGGTGACCAGGTCTTGCACTGACATCACCTGACGTGTTGCTCAGAGAGGACCCACAACACCCGTGTAGGATGTCAACTGTCCCCCTGACTCTACCCACGAGGACCTGGCCGCAGCCAGATCAAGGCATATTCTGCAGAATAACTGATCTGGATTTTTCAAAACTGACAATATCCGAGGTCCAAAATAAAGGCAGGGGAGGGGTGTTCTTGATTAAAGGAGACTAAACGCATGGCAACCAGATGCAATGCCTAAACTTCAGTTACATCCTGGATTTTTTTTTTTTTTTGCGGTATGCGGGCCTCTCACTGTTGTGGCCTCTCCCGTTGCGGAGCACAGGCTCCGGACGCGCAGGCTCAGCGGCCATGGCTCACGGGCCCAGCCGCTCCGAGGCATGTGGGATCTTCCCGGACCGGGGCACGAACCCGCGTCCCCTGCATCGGCAGGCAGACTCTCAGCTACTGCGCCACCAGGGAAGCCCTGGATTTTTTTTTTTAAGCCATGAAGAGCATTAACAGGAAAACTGGGGGAAATGAATATAGACTGTATACTCCATCATAGTATTGTATCAATGTTAGATCCTTTAGTGGGATGATTATATTATGGTTATGTGGAAAATTATGCTTATTTTTAGGAGTTACTAAAATGTAAGTGTCATGATGTCTGCAGCTTACTTTCGAATGGTTTAGAAAAGAGACATTCAGAGACAGCACAGGGAACTCTACTCAGTACTCTGTAATGACCTATATGGGAAAAGGATCTAAAAAAGAGTGGACATATGTATATGTAGAACTGATTCACTTTGCTGTACAGCAGAAACTAGCACAACATTGTAAATCCACTCTACGCCAATAAAAATTAGTTACAAAAAAAAGAAAGGTAACGTGCCAAAATGTTAACAATTGCTCTATCTAGCTAAAAAGAACACTGACGTTCATTGTATTATTCATTCAACTTTTCTCTAGATTTGAAATTTTTCACAACAAGTGGGGTACAACTTAAGCTAATACAATGTTATATGTTAATTATAGCTCAATAAAACTGGGGGCGGAGGGAGGGATAATGAAGGGTATCAGAAAAATGACCCCAGGGCCATTCTTAAATATCAGAAACAAACTAAAAAGAGAATTTTTGAAAAAACATCTGAATGATGGAAGACTTGTTTGCCAGAGCTTCATGTAATAACAAGAGAAAATGGGTGTAAAGGGTCTGCATATATAGCAGTGGGCTGACCACAAACTATGGTGGAGATGGAAGAGCCTCTAGCCAAGGACGGCCATTTCTAGTCCTTGCCTTGCTATGTGAGACCCGGAACCTTAGTGTTCCAGGCCTTGGTTTCTTCACATTCGTAATGATGGAGTCACGCTAGGTGTGCTCTAAGTTCTGTTCTGTGCACAAAATTACATGGTGTAGGTAAACAAAAGGGAGACTGCTTCAGGCCTGGCCTATACACTATGTAACGCACGCAAAGCTAGAAGACATGAAACCATGGCTGTGTTCTGTTGCAAAATACAAGAAAAAAGTCACAAGTTGGGGGAGGCATGATGTCACAGCACATGAATACCATTTCCTTATCAGGGAGCTTCACCATGACTTGAAAACAGATGCTGTTTTACTCGATCCCCTTTCCACTTTACCCACGCTGCCCTCTCCCAGCTGCCAAAGCCACCCTGATACCCCCCACCCCCAGTACCCTTCCCACCCTCGGCAACAGAAACACAGAGAACGTTCACACCGGATGTGCCCAACCGGGCCCGCCAGTCACTTTTCTCAAAAACATTGCAGTTCTGCAAATCATTTTGTTCATATAAACCATGGGTTCTCAACCTTAGCTGAGCCTCAGAATCACCCTGGGAGCTTCTGGAAATGCAGACACCCCAGAGCCAACGGTGAAGATTCCAACTTACCTGGTCTGGGGCTGGGCTAATGTGTCTGCATGTAAATGTTTAAAGATGTAAAGATAAATCTGAAGAGCTGTCATGACGTGAGCCCCAGAACAAACATCCCCACCTGAGTTTCTGTCTGTTTATCCACTTTTTTTCTGGCTAAGAATTACCATTTTACAGTTAAGAAATTCTAAAATTGAGGGACATTTCTGTGGTTGCCTTACCACACTTGATCACCTGTACTCTATACAAACCTGGACATAAATCTTGTTGTAAGAGGTAGTAGAATTAAATCAGACATATACATTTAATAGAAGGAATACCAGTCATTTACAAAAATCCATCATACAAAATATTCAATTGCCAACTAATTCAGGAAAAAAAAACACTGAACTATCTGAGAAAAAAATGAATTTCCATGTTTTCCTCTTTCCATTATTACAAGATAAGTTGAGTCAGAGAGCTGCGGGTTGCAGGCACACGAGCTCTGGGGCCTGAGGGTACCAGGTGCCTGTCTATGGTCTGGCAACTACTTAGGCCCTGGGTACCTTCAGTGGAAAAGTAGGGATAACAGAACCTATCTTTGGCGATAATCAGAATGACATATACTGACAAGTGTTGGCGAGGATGTGAACAAATCAGAACTCTTAGACAGCTGATGGGAATGTAAAACGGTGTGGCCACTTCGGAAAATAGTCTGGGAGTTCCTCAAAAGAAGAGAGTTAACGTATGACCCAGCAATTCCTTTCCTGGGGATCCATCCAAGAGACGTGAAAACACACAATCACACAGAAACCTGGACACAGATGTTCACAGAAGCATTATTTATAACAGCCCTAAAGTGGAAACAACTCAGATGTCCATCCACTGATGAATGGATAAATAAAATGTGCTATACACGTGCAACTGAATATTATTTGGCCATAAAAAGTATGGGGTACTGATACTTGCTATGACACGGATGAACCTTCAGACTGTGTTACGTGAAAGATGTCAGTCACAAAAGACCACGTCCTGTGTGATCCCATTTATATGAAATGTTCAGAATGGGCACGAGTGGTTGCCTCGGGTTGGGTGAGTTGTGAAGGAACGGAGACAGGCTGCTGATGGGTGGGTCCAGAGTTCCTTGGTGGGGTAATGAATGTGTTCTCAAATTGATTGTGGTGATGGTCGCACAGTCCTGTGAATATACTACAAACCACTGAGTTGTACACCTTCAAAGGGTGAATTACAATCGTTGTGAATTATGTCTCAATAAAATTTATTTTTAAAATAAACTTATCTTGCATCATGCTTGTAAACTTTAGATAATTTATATAAAGTGCCTGGCACAGTACCTGCTAAGTAACTGAAATTCAGTAAATGGTGTTAGTATTAGTGGTTATTAATTATGAAATGCAGGTCCACCAGGAAGTGCCACGGAATAAACCTGGATGAGCCAATGTTTGCCAAGCTCACTTGATTGTGTTAAACAAGGTTTTTTGGGGTTTTTTTGCACACAACTCGCAGCATGTGGGATCTTAGTTCCCCGACCAGAGATTGAACCCACGTCCCCTGCATTGGAAGGGCAGTCTTAACCACTGGACCGCCAGGGAAGTCCCCTTGAACAAGGTACTCTTTATAGTGATTCCTAAATTGTATTATACTTTTTCTCATGTGTTCTTGTACTAGACAATCAACTCCTAAAGAACAACATCCCTGCACCAGGAATAGGATATTACTCAAATAATATAAAGCATGTACAATAGATACTCTTGAGCTGTTTAAAAAAACATGGAAGGGCTTCCCTGGTGGCGCACTGGTTAAGAATCTGCCTGCCACTGCAGGGGACACGGGTTCGATCCCTGGTCTGGAAGATCCCACGTGCCGCGGAGCAATGAAGCCCGTGCGCCACAACTACTGAGCCCACACACCATAACTACTGAAGCCCACGTGCCTAGAGCCCATGCTCCGCAACAAGAGAAGCCACCGCGGTGAGAAGCCCACTCACTGCAACCAAGACTAGCCCCCGCTCACCGCAACTAGAGAAAGCCCGTGAGCAGCAACGAAGACCCAATGCAGCCAAAAATAAATAAATAAAATAAATAAATTTATTTTTAAAAAACATGGAAGATTAGTCAATAACTTGAACATATGATCAGGGTATATTAAATGAAAAAAGCAGTTCATACAAGAGTATGATCATTTGTGGTGAGTTTTCCAGAAAAAAGTGAAAGGATTTTCATGAAAATGTTAACAGCAGTCACCTCTGGGCGGGGAAGATTGTCGGTATTTTCTTTGCTTCTAGTTGATCTTCTGTATTGTCTACATTTTCTAGAGTAGGCATTGCTTTTGTAATTATGATGTCTAATCATAGACCACACCCGTCTAGCCTAAGAAGTAAAAGAGGCAGCAACTCCTGCCATCCCAAGTTAACTAAAACACATTATTGCACCTACATGAACACTAACATTTTATAAAGCAGGGGTACCTCTCAGATCACGTGTGCTTTTTCAAAATACAAATGTCTGGGCCCCACCTAAGACCTAAGGAGTGAGAATCTTCAGGGAAACACCTGGGCATATGTCCTGGATAAAAGTACCAGTGTTGCTTGCTTGCTGTGTCATTCCTGAATGAAGAACCAATGTTAAGGATTTCCCTGGTGGCGCAGTGGTTAAGAATCCGCCTGCCAATGCAGGGGACACAGGTTCAAGCCCTGTTCTGGGAAGATCCCACATGCCGCGGAGCAACTAAGCCCGTGTGCCACAACTACTGAGCCTGCACTCTAGAGCCTGCGAGCCACAACTACTGAGCCCGTGTGCCTAGAGCCTGTGCTCTGCAACTAGAGAAGCCACTGCAATGAGAAGCCCATGCACCACAACGAAGAGTAGCCCCCGCTCACCGCAACTAGAGAAAGCCTGCGTGCAGCAACGAATACCCAAAGCAGCCAAAAATAAATAAAATAAATAAACTTATTTTTTTTAAAAAAAGAACCCATGTTAAAAATCTAGGCTCCAAAGGAAGGAGGGAAGGAAGAGAGGGGGGAAGG